TCTGTGAGTATCTGAAACATCAAGTATCTTTCCGGCCTGTTTATCTCAGTGTAGTCTTGTGGAGCATCGCCATTCTGTTGCCTTCCTACAAAATACTTTTTCGTTCTCGCGGTGATGTTTCTGTGAATCTTTGACAACTGAGGTCAGATAGTTAGAAGACACCACTGGTAGGTTCTGCTTCTTAATTTTACCTGTTTTTTTTTTCCCTTTTGGTCGGTTTGTCCATTTTTTGCTCGTGGGTGGTCGGCATATGCTGTGATGTGGTTTCCTCCTTCTTTCCTATCAAACTAATAATATGGTCTTTAATTCTCCTTCTTATTTTCTTTGTATGTTACTCTCTGGTAATAAAACCTCTAATCTCCAGCATTTATGTATCCCCTAATTGCGTTGCAAGTGCTGTAAAATTCGTCTTTGCTTTTCTCCAGCTCTAAAAAGTAATTGACCGCTTTTGTGTCCACTTCTTTTTGTCTATAGCGGGTGGTAAGGGGGGGTCACTGGAGGGTCCCACTTCTTTCTTCCTCGTCTGCTGTTTGTGCCTGCCTTTGCTGTTTCCCAGCACTAAGTGATCTGTCTTGTTTACGTTTCTGATTCGTGCCTGTTCTCTTTCTGCTTCACTCCGACTGACATCAGTTTCACAATACATTTACTGTGTAGTGAACAACAACAACAACAACAACAACAACAACAACAACAACAACAACAACAACAAGAGCAAAAGCAGCTTCAGCAACAACAACAACAACAACAACAACAACAGTAGTATCAACAGCAACAACAACACCATCTTCTCCTCTGAGGGTGTGACAAAGCCCCACTGCTTGGCTCAACTTCTTTGCCATTGCCCTGCAGTTGTTTTGCTTCCAAACTTTTCCCCAGCGCTGAATAACCTTAATCGAGTCTGTTTCTTTTTTAACCAGTCTTTTTACGCTACCCCCCCCCCCACCCCAGCTCTTAAAGTGACCGCAATAACCCTCAATGTACTTCTCTCTAACTCAAACTCAAGCTTTCCCTGCTTCGGCCATGCCCAACTCCACTCCGACATCAGGAAGGTTTCAGGTGGCGGTAATTACAGGAGTCATCATTATCACTTGTCCCCACGGGCTCTCTCTCTCCCTCCTCTCTCTCTCTCTCTCTCTCTCTCTCTCTCTCTCTCTCTCTCTCTCTCATCACTCTCTCTTTCTCCCCCTCTCTCACACACACTCACACTCTCTCTCTTTCTCGCTCACTCGCTTTCTCTCTCTCTCTCTCTCTCACTCTCTCTCAGCTGCTGTTCTCACCCTCCACTCTCTCCTCCCCCTCTCGTTCTCTCTCTCTCTCTCTCTCTCTCTCTCTCTCTCTCTCTCTTCTCTCTATTTTTCTCTCTCTTTCTCTCTCTCTCTGTCCTCCCTTCTCCCTTTCTTTCTATATCTGCTTCTCTCTCCCCCCCCTCTCTTTCTTTCTCTCCCACAGAAAAACGTACTCTCCCACTCACACATTGTCACACTCACTCACACACGCACACGGGAGTGTAGATTAGTGCTGTTGGCCGACTTTTATGAAGACGGCTTATGTAATGAAATAACTCGCGATCGCTTTCTAGAAAACGTAACAAACATATTATTCATAAGTTGATATTGATTTTGAGGAAGAGAGTCTTAATATGAATAAGTAAACCAGTGAAACAAATAATTATAAAGGTTCAGAATTCATTGTCTTCCTTGCAGCGTCTGGTTACCAGGTACCGTACAGCAAATCGATCGTTTTTCTTGTTTGTCCGTTCGTCATTTCCCTGGACTTCTATGTGGATGTTTGGCGGGTGCGCTAGTATGGTTTGTTCCTTATTTCCTATCGAGCATCTATCATCCTTATATCCCCTCCTCCTTTTTGTGTTTGTTATTCTGTTGTAACACCTGCAATCTTCGGCACTTGTATTTCCGTATTTTGTGTTGCAAGTGCCGTAAAACCCTTACTAAAACAATTGATGTATTTTCCTCAACAAGTTTTTTTTTTCACTTGAAGTTACGTGCTTACCGCTATATTGACGTTTTTTTTATTTCGAAACTCTTTGCACGCGGGTAGGCGAGCAGGAGGATGCCACTGAAAGGTGGTTCTACTTCTTCTCTTTCCCTTTATTGTTTCTGTCTGTATATCTGTCTTACCATGTCCCTGCACTGAATGACCGTTATTGCGTCGATTATCTCTGTTTACTTTTTTAACAAGGGAATAAACATTTTGCTCACCTTCTGTACGTGTCAAAAAGTAGTGTTCTGCTGGTTGCTCTGCTATGATGCCAGGACAGTTCGTGCGCAGCAGGTTGTTTTAACACTGTTTGTCGAAGCCAGTTTTAACACCGTTTGTCGAAGCCAAAAATATAAACAGTTTAATTTGTTGTACATATTGAATAATAACCGACATTTGCAGCTGGTGAGGTGGGTTCTTTTTTTCATTAAACGAGAGAATGTCAAAGTATACGGATTTTGATATTTTTGGGTGGTTAGCTTGGAGTAATTCTCATATTAGAGGGGATGGGAGCTTGTTTGTTAATGTGGTGGGGTTCTTTTTTT